TCGACAACTGACTGTTTTTGTTTGACCAAACCCATACAATTCGTAATCGTTTGTGTGCCGGACCAGCAGGAAAAAAAATATTGGATATATTTGCCTGGGGTAATTAGCTCACTCCACCTGAAGGATTTCTACTTGTCTGCCGACTGTCTGCAAACAACGAGGATCACATTACAAATTTTCCGCTTGTCAGCATGAACAAATTTCCAGCAGCTTGTAATTAATATTTTGACATGTATCCCCATGGGCAGCTCGCCACCTCTCAAATGGGTGGCAATATAAGATTCGATTTCATTCGACGCTGCTGTGTAGACTTTCTCGCCAGTAAGCCCAAAAATAATTATATTTATATTAGGCTAATGACATAGACGGATTGTATATCAAATGTTGTTTGGCCGCCGGTAACTAGCCGCTGCTGCCGATGTTACTTTCAATCCATTGGATTGCCATGCATCCAACATCATGCAGAATGTGTCAATTGTGGGCTGTTAGTCAGTAATATGATTTGAATACTATTTTTAAGAATTTTGCAACCAAAGCTATGCTCAGATAGTTGCCTCTTGCACAAGCCAAAAGTTATACCCTCCGTTGAGAGCCCATAAATTAGGCTTACAACGTCGGAGTCAAGAAAGCCAGTATAATTGTATGACTGCCACCGCATTCACAGAAGAATTTCATTTTTCTATGTGCAGTAGGAAGATACAGTGATAAAAACTATTGAAGGAGGAGCACTGGAAGCATACTTCTATTTATTGTTTGCCTTTTTCTCAATTTTAAATGCTTTCATAGCATTTATTCTGGTGCTAGTGTACGTATAAGCATAGTTATAACGCACCAAGTCGGGAAAAACTATAAGAAATTGAAAGCAATTTGCCAAGCAGAAAGGCAAGCATAAAGAACAGAGCTATGTCTGCTATAACAGAAGCGAAAATTATTTTTCTAACTCGCAGAGCGAAATGTACGAGTGGGGAAAAGGAACGCCAACTGCATATAAATTTTGGTTAGGCGACACAAAGGCAGTGAGCCAGAGGGAAAATGCGTCTGATAAGGATGAAAATAAAATGCGATATTTTTTTTCTCTTTTTTTCTCTTTGCGCCAAAATGCCTTTCATGAAACGGACAGTTTGTGGCTGCCATTTGGGTATGGGTATGGGTATGGGTATGGCGAAGTGGTTATGGGAGCTGCTAGAGCATTTCAGCTGCGGAATGACAAAGTATCAGGCCAACAACAAAGCTTAAGTCATAAAATAAAAAAAGTTTCCTATGAGGCGTCAACGAGACGGAGCTCTCTTCCATTTTCTTGGTATTTTCGCTTTTTGTGCTGGGAATTTTCCTCAAGCCAGTTGCCTGATTGCATCCAACAAGGGAAAATTTAGCAAGGCGACCCAGAGAGCCTCTTTATACACTTGCCCCCTTCCGTGGCAACGAAATCTGTTTACAAATTTGATTTGCCTGCCACGCCCAGCGCAATTAGGGCGAGCAAAAAACCATCGCAACATTCTCACACTCAACTGGAGGCCTACGAAACAGGGGCGTAGTTCGCCTGGCGCTCCATGGGGGGATTCATTAATATTGGTATTCAGTTGGCACTGTTTTTCTTATTGTGTTAAAGAACCATCTACGAACTTCGTCTAGTACATCACGAATGTGTTACATACACCACGATTACGAATCTATTATAAACATAATAAATGTATTTTCGGCTGTAATAGTGCTTAAACTATGGCAAGTTCAGGTTACTAGCTGGAATCTGTGTGCCACTGTGACCCAATGCGATCGCAACTATTCAGTATTCAGAACTGAGTGAACTTAAGATGTACATATGTTTTCAGCTGGAGTTGGGCGCGTTTGAAACCCCCTTTCGAGGACGCCGCCGCCCCTGGAGCAGCGCAGATATGGTGAAGCGGGCCTGCAGTCTTAGTCGCATTGATTGTTATGTAAGCGGCTTATAATTTCTTCTCGGCGAGGGAGCCCCTCACTGGGATGATGGGGAAAACGAATTTAATTTCTGTTGTCGGTCGTAGCCAAGTGTCGATTGCCGTTTCCCATGTTCACTTTGTGTGTGGGCTGCTATCGGCTATCGCTGTTGTTGGTGGCCTGAAAATTGCTGTTGCCAAATGGAAAAAGTATGTTTTCAGGCGCTTAAAAAGTAAATTATAGACGGTTTGACCAGGCCTCACTCCCCCATTTCCTTTTTGCCCATCGCAGCCTCCGCCATTTATTTCCCTGTCGTACTTGGTTAGTCGTATTCTTTGGCCAGTGGACAAAGTGGCAAATTCACTTGGCCTGTGAGGAAAGCTTGGCAAGAGGCTGGATTAAGCCGGGTTGGAGCATAGACCTAATCACTGGGCATGGTGGGAAAAGTGCGCTCACTTAGCCAATTACTTTAGTTTTGCTCAAGCATATGGCTGAAATTGAAATGTTACTTATTCTAACAAGATATAGTACCTAACTCTATAGCCAAGCGAAAGAAGAACTACAAGCCAAAGAATCTCTATTATATCCCGATGGCCATTACACATACATGTACATGCCTTTGTGACTAAGCCCCAAACCAGACCAATTTCATAACCAGCGTGCTCTTTAAAGCCAAACTCGCTTTCCCGCCGCGGCGCAGAAAGAAACGATTTTCACTAAATTATTTTCACTTTTCTTCATAGGCCGATGAAAACGAAAGTGAAGCAAAGTCAAATCCCCGGCGGCCAGCGAAGCCACCGAAGCCACCGTTACCGGAGTGGAGTGATGTGGACATGGATGTGGACTGCAGCGGAGTGGAGGGATTGAAGTGGAGTGATTGCATTGTTTTCTGCGTCCATGTACATGGAGATATTAGATAGGCCTACCGACCGACACACAGAGACCCGATGAGCTCAAGTCGGAGTCCGGAGTCAAAGTCGGGGAATCGAGCATGCTGATGAGTTTGGCCTACTTTCACTTTCATTTTCTAGTTTCGGCTTACAAGCGTAATCATTTTTGGTTTTTCTCTTTTTGATATTCACGCGTTTTTGAGCCGGTTTTCCAGAGAGCCATGCTACGAGAGACCCACTGACAATGAAATAAAGTTGTTTCACATTTCATGGTTGCTGCACTGGCAGACCAAAAAAATTACAAATACATATATCTATATCTTATAGGCCTAGAAAAACTAAAACAATGGGCAAAAAGTTAACTTTAGACTGGGCTGGCAAGGAAAAGTGTTAGGAGATTGTTCATCACAACGTGGTCATTGATGGATTTCCCATTTTTCTCGCCATTTTTGCGCTCTCAAGTGCTGCGTTTACACTGGACTACATAAAAAAGTACCGCACCGCACACTCTTATTGCTCACTTTCACTTTTTTTCAATGACAATTAGTGGCAACAAAACATAAACACCAAACTGAAGCCACAGCGATTCACGTTTCTCATTTTGATTGCGAGCCAAAGCTTTGAATAATATCATTTTAATTGTTTTTTTTACCAGCTGTTTAGTGTTATAATAATTGTTTCCCCCAAAGTGAAGAGTAACTGTACATAGGTATGGAAAACTTTTAATTAGTTGTTGGGCCCGGGCGATTGCATATAATATGATTTGCATGAGTGCTTCTCGATTTGTATTTAATTGAGGGGAAAAGTTGGAAACCTGTATAAGTTGCCTGGAAAGTCGGTGGATAGTGCAAGACTCATGGGCCTGCATTGGAATTTTAGCCAAAAACTTCGATAAAACTAACTATTAACCCATGGTTGCCAGGCGCCCTTCCCACAGAGCCAAGTGCTTGGGAAATCCCAAATGGCACTTGCCATAGATTCCACTTCGGATATCTAAAAACCAAATAAGTTCGTGCGACAGTTAAACTCGAGCCGAGGGCGAAAATAAAATCATAAAAGTCCAGCCACATAATTCCCACTCACACACAACTGAAGTCAAGTTAAACTAATAAAAAGTCTAATAAAATCAATTTCAATCAAAATACCAAAGTAAAATAAATACGACCAAAAAACGCGAGAAATTATGAAGCAAGAAACGAAAGCGGAGACATCACAAAAAAGTCAAAAGACGAGGCAGCAGCAAATTGGGGGGCATAAATCAAATGCCGAAATATGCGCCAAATATTATAGGAAATGCGGGTGTAGCGGGGGGAAATGGGAGTCACTTGGAGATGGAATGCACTCTTCGCAAAGAGCACGAATTTTACGTGGTATGCCTCCAGGAATATTGGTTTCTATATCTGTAGCTGTATTTGTATCTGCATCTGTATCTGTTTCTGTTTCTCTTTCTGCATCTGTATGGGTATCTGTATTCGAGAGATTCGGCGGCTAGAGCGTGCAATTAATGATTTTGTCGGGGCGTGATGTCGCAATATTCAATGAGCTCCTAATGACTGGCACATGAGTGTTAGGACGCCGGTTATAGCACTTTAGATTAAATGTCTAGCCCAGTCAGAACGAAGGGGCGGGGCAGGGTAAATAAGCAGCTATCGCCTCTGTGATAAATGATGGTTTCTTTTTTCATTTTGGGCACTGAAACCTGGATGGCAGCAGCCGTGTCTGCAAATACTAAACCTTTAACGGTAATACGTTCAAATATTAAACATTTAAGGGTATAAGTTCAAATACTAAACAGTTAAGGGTAATTTAGTTCAAATGCTAAATATTTAAGCGTAAAAACTCGGTGTCAGAAGTACACAAAGCTCTGGGAAAAAGTATCTAAACATATTTACTTTGAATATTTACATTGAATTATACATTGCAATGATTACATCTTTACTGAACATTTGAGCATTTACTTAAGCCTACATGTTAAGCAAATATAAAATAAGTTCTTCACTTCATTTTTGATACACAAGAAGTTTCTTTCCAAGTTAAAGTCACGTATGTTCTTTAAGGTTTTCCCTGCCAGTAAGCCCCTCTAACATCTTGCCCCTTCATCCAATTTACCTCATTAGCCATAAGGCTCCAGTTCGAACCCTCTGGGATTGGCAACCCCGTACAGATACATCCGTATCTCATCTCTTTCAAACTTACCCTGCATTTTCGGCTGCAGCAATTGACATCTGTTGTTGGGGCTCATCTGTTAGCCGCAGCGTTAGATGTGCCCTTCGTTGTTGTTGTTGTTGCTGCAGTGGTTATTGTTGTTGTAGTGGTGTATTGTTGTTTCTGGTGGCGCTGATGATGATGCTGCTAATTTTTTGCCTCCGCTTATTTGATGTCTACACATGAAATTCGCGCACGAAACGTAAATGAAACACTGCGAAAAGGAAGAGAGAGGGTGAAAATAAAAGAAAATTTTATTAACATTTTTTGTACATCTCGCTTTGTTCAGACATTTTACAGTATTATTTCAAACAAAACGCTGGGCTTGACATAAGTTGCCGCACTTGAGAGAAACACACACAGAGAAAAAGGGACCCCCGAGAAAACAAGAAAAACTGGCAAAAGCAAATGCCAGCTGGCCACTTGTAGACTCAAGTTACAAGAAACACTTAGAGCCAAGCCGAGCCGAGCCGCGCCCCCTTTCTCCATCTCCATCTTCGCCATCATCATCACCAGCCCCCCAGATGATGAAAGCCCCCAAAAAATAAAAAAGAGCGAAGAAAACCCTAGGAAAACCCAAGACATGAAATGAGTAAGAGGCGCCAAGTGTGTGTCTGTGCAAGGTGAAGGGAAAGAGGGTCTAAAAATATGAGGGAGGTACTGAGGCCTCTTTTGTGTTGCCAAGGGCTAAATGTAAGTTGCCTATCTTCCTCATTCCCCAAATCTTTTTTTCGGCCAGCAAGGGTTACGGTTTAACCCTAAATGTGCCTCGGAAAATGATGCAAAGTGAGAGCCGCGAGGGGCTGAAGACTTCTTCAATTAAAAGGGTTTTCCATGACAAGGATCCAGGTTGCTAAGCACTGACTAACTAATAGACACAAATAAAACTGTTTTTATCACATTTTAAAACAATTACACCATGTTGCTAGCAATTTTGGTAGTTTAAATGTATTTCCTAAACTTTATAAATGCCTCTGTTTCTTTTCAGAAGTTTACAAGTAGGTAGAGGAAATCCTTTGACAAAATCCGATTTACCCCGGCGAACTCTCTACGTAAGCTTCTTGTAAACAAACAGAATCATCTGCTATAAGCCCATGAGCTGATGTATAATCTGCAGACTGTGCGCAAATTAAAGTTTCATTTTTCAGTTGCTGCCTCGCTCTGCACACTGCACTCTGCACTCGGCCATTTGTTATTGTGTTCGTGTTCTTCACTTGGCCAACGTGTCGTATACTCAACTCGTCAGCCACCACCCAAAAGAGTTTTCCACACGCATGTAGCATTCTCGGCCGGGAAATACTTATGCATGTACGGGTGTGCAAGTGTTCGTGGCATGAGGAGAATGCTTTATTGTATTTGCTTTTAAAACATCAACAACATTTGCTGTTGCCATACGAAGTACATGCATATGCATATGTATACATACACACACACACACTTAGGTGGATAAAACTGCTGCAACTGCGACTGCATTGCGTTTTTCTCATTGTTTTACCCCCGTCGCCGTCGCCCCTTTGGGGCTCCAGAAACTTGTTTATATAATTTCCTGTACGCGTGGCACAAAAGCCAGCAGTAGAAGCATAATCTTCCCGTCTTACTCTCCCTATACGAGTACATACATATATGTACATGTATCTCCATCAAAATCCCTCTCGCCTGCCCATTCTTTTGTCATGTATTTTTGCTGATAATAATAATGCATTTCATTGTTGTTGCTGCTGGCTTTGCTGCTCTTGTCATTGTTTATAATTGTTGCTTTGTGCGAGCCTAGCAGATGCATAGATACACATGTATCTGCTAGATACGCCAAGTGACGACTGCGAGCGCAAAAACAACTTACACACTTTCTGATATCACTTCTTCCAGTCTGTTTGCCGTTTGATTGATTAAAACAAGGAAGCAATATCCTCGCCTCGGATATTTGTTGGCCATTTTCATTACTTGTGCAGTGGAATAGCAGAAATCGGATTTGATTTTGCTTGAAGGATTAAATGTACAAGTCATTAATATGAGTTTACACATATATGTTAGCTTTAAGAAACCTTTGAAAAACATATATTCACAGCCACATTTTATGCTCATTAGTTACAGTATTCTAGTTAAATATTTAATATTTAAATAGTCTAGAACTACAATAGTCTTGTGGCACCATAGAGCGGTTCCAATCGATGAACACGTTTGGCTGGAGGGGAAGTAACAGCCTTCGGACATGGCACTTCATTAAAGAAGAGATTCAATAAATTTTCACAAAAGCATGTTAATTGAGCGCCAGAGTTGGGATGTTATTGATGAGCTGGGGACTGGGGCTTAAGTTGATTTCTGCGCTTGAAATAGTTTCAACAAGTCGCAGACGAGGCAAGAGAAAGGAAAATATGACGATGGAAAACAATTTCAGTTTGTTTACTTTATTGTCGTCGTGTAGCGTTGAAATTCTTTCTGTTTGTGGACTGGACTTTATTTTTATCAGCGCAGACAAGGACAAAATTGTGGTGTGCGAGCGAGAGCGAATGGTAAACAAGAAATAATGAATTTGTGATAATGGTAAATGTTCCTTTTGGCTCACTTATCTTCATTTCCTTCCCAGGGTTTCCTTCTTCTGTTCCTTCTTTCCACATTTTTATTTATAGCCTTTAAATTTTGTGAGTAAACAGTATATTCTCTTTTTTATTTGTATTTCCGCAACTGTCGGTGGAAATGTGTAAGTGATTGAGTGCAGCGCAGCTAATTTGCCGCCTCGCCTTGGAAAACCAGCTTAGAACCGTGCTAAGCGGTCCAACAATGTGACAACAGAAGCCCAGAGACGCGATAACTTGGCCAAGACGCTGGCGATGGCGATGGCGATGACAACGAGGCAACTTAATACGCGGGTTATGCAACATACACACTCGCGCTCACCAAAGAAGCGAATCAGTTGCACAAAGCAAACGACAACGACAAAGGCCCAAAGCCCCAACGTCCCAACGGCCCAAAGGCCCCCTTTACCTGAAGACCGGTTTTTGGCCCCCAGAAGAGAAGAGAACGGAAGACAAGAAACTCCATTTCGCATGGCCAGGAGATTCTGCACATTTTACCGTTAACATAATGGCTAAATCACCGTTTAGAAAACCGCCAAGATGACGTTGTAGCTGCGCGGGGGTGGTGGTGGGCGGGGTTGTGGGCAGAAAGACTCCAATTCGTGGCAAAAAAAAAAAGAAAAAAAAAAGGAAAAAGGCAAAGATTTCAAAAGAATTCTCCTCGCTTCTTCGTTCTTGCCAATTTTTCTTCCTCTCTTTGAGCAGTTTTGTTTCCCTGCCTCGCATTTTGCAAAAAACGTAATTACAGTTGTTGGTTATATTTTTTCCCAGACGTGCTTAGAATTAAATTAAATTAAAATTACAGTGAGTGCCAAAAGTTGCGGCCAAAGTCGTCAGCGATGAGATAATGCCGCGAATTGGCAATTTCCAAAAGGGAGTGAAATCAAGATGAAATTCAAGTTGCAACACATCAGTAATAAAAACACTTTTCTACATTTCCTGCCGCACACTTATCATTAAGACTCAATGATGCAATAATTCAGTTTCCTAATTTATTATAATTGTTTAATTTATTACCCTCCCCATCTCCTAACACCACCGAATAAAAACTTTTCTGCGCAGCTCACTTCACAAATATTACGTGACATTTTTTTCAAACGTTTCCGATACCAGAACAAATAAATAAACAAAATCAAAAATTATTTATATAACTACAAGCGGAAAAGACTTGTACCGTAAATCGTGCGTAAGTTATGAACTCTGCAGCCAAAAGATGAACAGATTTTCAAACACATGATTGATTGAGTGTTTAGTTTCCAGTGGTTAAAGAAGTACAAATACCACGGGAATAAAACGAGAAATGTCGAAAACCGATATGCGGTTGGTGAAACCGAATAAAATCGAAGTTGACGATATAAAAGTGCTCGAATCGGTTGTCAAGATAAGCGAAATTCACACTTTATCAGGCAAATAAACTACAGCTATTGGTTCCAATTGTTTTGTTAGCTTATCGCCCTGAATAATTATTAACAATACTGTACTCCGGATTTTGTTGTGTGCTAGGCATTCTGGTTTAGCATAGCCAAAACTTCAATAAAGTGCCATTTGTTAACAACTTGTTCCTTCCACGCTGTGTGTGCAAAAACAATTTTTCTCCATAATGAGGTCAGTTTTAAAATACATAAACTCATTATTCGTATTTTTTTCTTGCTTTGTTTTTTTTGCCCGCCTGTGTGAGCTGTGAGCTCGTGGCTGTGCACACAAAAAGTAAAAAAGAAACATTCGGCGTAAAAATTATTTTATTGTCGCGTACGCAAGACGACGTACAAAAATGTGTGGCCCAAATAAGGAGTACAAGTACAGCGAAAATAAATAAGGCTAAAAGCAAAAATAACAATGACACATTAATAATGTTAAGTAAATAGAGAAATTTACAAAATAAAATCAACACGCGATAGGCAGTCAAGGCAATGAAATGCCTGTGAATATGGCCATGTCTGAAAGATTCAGATCAAGTTAAGATCATATGACGTCTATCTATGCAATTTTCATATATTTTTGTTTTCGGTTCCTCTGGAATCTTTGAAAAACAAAAAGTAATGGGCTCAAAGTAGGTAACTTCAGTTACTCATTAGGGTTTTTCTGCAGCTGTTCGAACATTGGATGTCTAACAACAGACCCAAAGTAAACTTCAGCTTAGTTTGGGGCGGTCTGAAGCTAATCAATTTTGGGAAAGTGCTTCCGCATTTAGAGAATTGCACAAGAAGCCACTTACATACATATGGGAGTGGGTTTTCCGTGTAATGGGCCGCTATCAAATGCTATGGGCCGTGAAGTAATGGGAAGCAATGGGAGGTTCCATAGGGGCTAGCCACATAAAACCGAACCGAAACTATCTGAATCGGAGGCACATGCTTTGCATATTGCTGGGAGAGAGCTTCGAGTAGCAGTACTGTTAAGCCCGCCCGTGGCGTCTTTTCAACAAGTGGCCAAAATCCGTATGCTCGGTATTACGTGCCCCGAATGTATTGGCCGCAAAATGAAGCATTTGAAGTCCGCTCTTAAGCGTTTGCCATAGTTGCCAGGGGACGACGCGCAGCTGTTTAAATGCCACTGATAAGCCGTAGCAAGCCGTAGGAAAACATATACTTGGCCATTATTGCGACGATCGACAGATAGAAACTGAAATACATAGCTCGAG